GTCCTTCAGATCTATCTTTGTTACTTCAAAGGAAAATAAAATGCATCCTTTTATGCCTTATACTCCACTGTACACAAATACCACATTTTTCCTATTATCTTACTTATCCAATCTCCAGGCATTATGAATAAGTGCTACGGTAAATATGCAAGTACAAATATTTCTTTGCCACATTGATGTCATTTCCTCTGGATTCACAATAAGGAGTTACATGGATGGGTAAATAGTGCTTTGGGGAGCTGTCATACAGTTCCCCATAATGCCTACTGTAATTAACATTCCTCCAACAGAGCATAAGAATTCCCTTCTCTGAACCCTTCCTGACACTTGTTACATTTTGTCTTTTTGAGGATAATAAACATAACTGGAATAATATTTAGCTCCCTGTGGCTTTCATTTCCACTTCCCTGGTGGTTAAAGGTTATCATTTCTTCATAAATCTGATGGCTATTGGCTGATCTTCTTTTGAAAGTGTCTTGAGATAATTTGCTTATTTTTAAATCAAAACTTTTGTTGTGGTTTTGGGTTTGAAGATTTTATTGTTACTAGTGTAGTGTTAAGTAGTTATATATTCTGAATATGAATTGTTGCTAAAAGAAATCTATTCAGTTCAAAGTGCCCTACAGTATTTCTCTTATGTTTCTATTTTAAAACTGAACCCATGCAAGAAGTCTTGTTTTCTGATTCTGTAGTATGTTTTGAAGCTAGGTTTCACAATGCTTCCAGCTTTGACTACTGAAGGTTTGTTGTACTTCAGTATTTTCAAGGGTGGTTTTTGTTTCTATTTCTATGAAGACGGTCATTGTTAGTTTGATTGGAATTGCAATGAACCTGTGCAAACCACTTTGGATACTGTGGATGTTTTAGTACTGCTGTTTCTTCCCAGCTATGAATGTTTTCAGTTGCTCTGTGTCCTCTACATTTTTTTTTTTGCTGCAGAGATCACTTACTTATTGGTTAAATTTGTTCCTATGTAGTTTTTCATTTTATAACTATTTTGAATGGAATTCTTCCATTCACTGCTTTTTCAGCAATTTCATTGTTGGTTTGTAAAAATGCTGCTGAATTTTGTATGTTGACACTGTATATTGCAAACTCACTGACTCTATTTTTCATTCCTAACAATTGCCTTTTGGAGTTTTTAGGTTTTCCTATGTATAAAATCATGCTATATGCTTGATTTATTTCTTTAATTAATCAATTTGTTTAATACATTGTAATATAGAGCATACTTATTTAACAGTTCAAACTAGTACCAATAGAATAATATACTAATTTTTTCAAACCAATTTATACTATTTAGATGTTCTTTTACATATCTAATACAAAATAATGAGACAAATGATAAGTTGTTGATAGTTTATGTAAACTACTATCCTGTTTCTTGGCTTTCCTGGAGGGACAAGGTGCGGTGTTTTAACTCAATCTCACAATCTCAGATGCATGTAAATTTTCCTTCTTCCTTTATAATCTTCTCCCCTGGCAACCCACATCTCTTAAAACTACTAGCTACACCCAAACTCAGATAGGCATAGCAGCTTCCTTGAGCTTGTATTTGTGAACTGTACACCCATCTGTCCAATTTTCATATCTTTATAATAAAGCGTATTGATTTAAGTATAGTTCAATCATGTTTTCATCCAAATCCTTTAATTTTTACAAATTATTCATTCTGTCTACATTAATAAAAACAGAGTTAAGTTTAATGATTTACTTTTATTTCTATGTGTGAGCATGACTTTATATACACTAAATGTGTGCAGGTGCCCGTGAAGGCCACAAGAGGGCATTAGATCCCTGGGAACTGGAATTACAGGCAATGGTAAGCTTTCCAATGCGGGGGCTGGGAACTAAAGTAGATGCTCTAGAAGAGCAGTGACTAAGTCATAACCACTGGGCATTCTTTCCATATCCAACATATAATTAACCTTAATGAACCATATTACTGTCATCTTTTCTATTTCAGACAAACTGTGTTTTCCTTTTCGTTACATCATTGATATCCAATATTTTTTCAGTATTAAAATACACTGACTTCTTAGACTTTTATTTTATATGTCAGTTTCTCATAACTAATATTCAAGATAAAATAGAGTTATCACACACTACTTAGAAAGAATTGATTCACTTTACATAAATTTGGAAATTTTATATTATTATAAAATTATTATTCAAATTATGAATTATTTGAATCCAGTGCTTACTGAAGATACCACCTCACTGAAGATATCATTGCTTCTATTTTACTTTAAACTTTATAATAAAAATAAGTAATTTTTATTTTTTTTAATTTTTTATTAATCAATTTGTTCTTCTGAAAAATGAAAAAAGAAAAATAAAGTTTATTTTACTAGTTGCTCAGATATTTACCATGGCAAATTATTTGCAGCCCTTTTGTGTAGATCTGATTTTCTATTTAGCATCATTTTTTAAAAATCTGTGTGTCATACCTCATACTTCCAGTCTTCTGACAAAGAATTCTTTCCAATTCTTTTGATCCAAAAATATGTTTACTTTGCCTTTGACTTTGAGTAATGTTTCCTGGGGGTTGATTCAGCGCTTTGTTTTTAAGTGGCACATTAAAATATCTTTCAATTGTCTCACACCCTACATATTTTCTGATAAGAATTCAGACATAATTTGTGTATTGTCTTTTTCCTGTGTGTAATGTTTCCTTTTCTCAGATATGTTTTATGACTGCCTTTTTATTTTAGATTTTTGGAGTAGGGGTTGGTTTTGGTTGTTTGTTACCTATAATGTATGTAGATTTTGTTGATGTATAAATTTTCATGTTCACTGATTTTCTTAAATATGTGTTCCCCAAGTTGTGGATTTTGGAGTCATTATTTCTTTGAATATTTTGCCTGTTTTCTTTCTCTCCATAAGATTGCAGCAACGACTAACTTAAGCCATTAAATATTGTCTCATAGGTCACAGAACATTGTCGAATTACTTATTAATGTCTTTTCATTCTAAAATGATGACAAAAGATCTTCCTAGACTTCCTTCATCATATTTTCCTACATCAAATTAGTTGTGTGTGTGAGCATCTCATTTCCAACGTTATCAGCTTTACTTCCTTCATGTGATTACATTTCATAATTGACCTTTCTCTGCTCTGAGTCTTCATATTCACTCAATATGCCTTATTTTCCTATACATCCTTGAACATACTTTTAGTAGTTGCTTAAAAGGTGGTGTATGCTAATTCCATCTGGACCACTTCAGATTTTCAGTGACCATTACTGATACTGTCTGAATTCTTTGCAGGTCTACCGGTATGCTAATTATGTTGCAGGAAGTATGAATTATACTGTCATGTTTTTTCAATCAGTAAAGCAACAGAGTCTGGAAGATTGTTTCAATCTTTTCAAATGTTTTAATGAGGAGTTATTGTTTTTTTTTTACTTTCTTTAGTCCTGGGATGTAGCTTTTCCCCTAAAACACACTCATCACTGGTTAGTTATATCCCTTTTATGCCTCCATCCAATGCCTAGTTTACTCAGCAAGATAAATGTCTACACATTAGAAAACCAGTAACTCCCAAATCTGTATGACATCTGAAAGCTTTGTTCATCTTTCAGCTCCAGAGATGCCATGTTATACCTTACAGTCTTGCCCTGGCTTTTTTTTTCTCAGTCTTGCTTTTGGGAAATCGCTCAGAACACTTCCCTGGATCAATATATGTGCCCTCCTTCCATGCAACTGTCATCTCTCCAATACCCTTTCCTTTAAAACCTTATCTCTCAGCACCCCAATTCTTATCTCTACTTTGGCATGAGCTGGACTGATACTATGCCATTGTTAACCATCACCATTATGAAGACTCCCCTCAGTGAATGTGGTGTTTGTTTTATGCATCTCCTACAGAGCTACAGAATAGTAGTTCTATGTATTATATTTTCAGCTTCTTGAAAACACTTTTAAAATAATTTTCACCCACACCATCTGTTCTTTTCAAGGAATCATTAAGCCTGATATCAGTTACATTCTTGTGTCCAAATACATGTTTCCATTTTGTGATATTTTTACTAAAGGAAAAAATAATAATTCATAGAGAAAGCAATTTTCAAAGTTTATAAATGCTGGGATGAACTAGTGGAAAAATTTTGTAAGAAGTTAGGAGATCAGCAGTCACTTATTAGTTGGTGATTAACAGAATCGGCATCTCATTTTCTTACAGAGACTAGAAGAAAAGAGTTCTTGTCCTTCTTCTTGGTGGTTATACTTTTCTTTTTAAATTTATCCTTTGAGAATTTTATACATGTATACAATTAAATGAGAACATATGCACCCTCCATTTCTTCCTCTCAATATTCCAAACCCCACTAAGATATGACTTTTCCTACTTCACATCTTTACTTTTTTTGCAATGACTCACTAAGAACAATTAATGTTTTCCATATGTCCATATATCCCTCCTCAAGTAGCTATCACCTACCAATAAAAAGCTCCTCAGTTAGGGATGACTTTCTGAGAACTCCTTTCCATCTATGCTATAGTTTTGGCTGGACTGATTTTGTATAGGTAGCCATGGCTGCTCCGAGTCATGGTACAATTGTCATATCATGTTCAAAGGACAGAATCCACAAATTTCTTCCTTATTCTTTGGCTCTTAAATTATTTCTGTTTCCTCTTCGGCAGTGTTACCTGAGTCTAAGCACTCACAACCACCAATATTAAGCAGTATGACTAGTTAAGAATATCTGTAATGGATACAGAAAGATGCAGAAAGAAGCTTCTCTGACTAATATTGGAACAGTGAGGTCTATGGGTATGAATCTAATTAAGAAAGCAATTTTACAACATCACTCTTTAGCAAAATAACAATAGTAGTTTCCACTGTAGACTCTATGACTTCCCCAACCATGAGCTTTTTGTCCAGATTTATAGTACCATACCTAAGGACATTCCTGCGAAGAAGGCCTTAGATCCCGTCACAAAGTAGTCAGTTATCCCATAGCACTCATGCCACTATTACAGTGCTAGACACATCTCACCTGGCAGGATAGGATTCTAGCAATGAGGTCCACCATCAAGTAAGGGCAGTGATGTGTTGTCTTCCCCACAAGCCTGTGTAGGACCTTCTGGCACTATGTAAGTCTCCTGATAACATATCCACCAGTTTTCTTATATGAAAAAAAAAAAGAGAAGTCATTTAGAAGAACAATTTCAATGTCTTATGACCAAAAAAAATCAGAAATAGAAACAAGAGAGATTAAGAAAAAAATTGAAATATAAAACACCAAGAAATGAAAGAAACAAAAAAGATAGAGAGCAGAACATGATAAGATCTTAAACATTACAGATGTGACTCGCCATTCAATACTTTTCAAAACACCATCTTTTTGGCAACATAAAATACTTTCTACGTTCCACATACAGCATAACCAAACTTTTCAACAATAATTTGAATAATGGTGTCTAACACCATTATTGCATGTTATACTGGGTCTTTGTTTGAGTGGTATTTTAGAGCTCTCAACATCAACATAACAATCCCCGATCATAGCATTTAGCTTCTCTTTCCAAAAGTTGACTGAATTTTTTGCGAATATCTTAAAACACTAATTACAATACTACTGACTTCTTTTGAGCTTACATCAGGAAAATACTCCTATGGAAAGTAGATAGTATGAAAAGACTGCTCTGTGGGCACTTTCATATGCTGCATAAAGTGTTTCCTTGAAATTATTTCATCTGATCCTTAGAAGAACTTGTTATATCATGAGCCAACATGTCCTCATGGCATAATGTAGAGGTTGGAAGGTTTTAGGACCTTGGTGTCTCTTTTGAAGCATGCAATTAAGCAACTTTTCTCTAGTTTTTCATAGTTTTTCATAGTATGGTACATTTAGGCTATCCTTAAGCACCCTGTTGTTTTGTATAGCAAGCACTTAACTGTTACTGCATTTTCCTGTTAGCTTAGACTAAGAATTATTAATTTTTTTCTGTAAAATGGCCAGATACTACATAGTTTTCTGGATCTTGTCATTAATACTCTACTGCTACAGCATGAAAGCTGCCATCAGTATCGGATACAATAATGTGTGCCACTGTTTTCTAATGAAACATTTGTAAACGTGGCCAGCTAGGTTCAGCCCATAGGCTACAGTTGCTCAACTTTGACTTAAGTGACCTCATGCGAGCCTTGATCAGGTGTGGCACAATCTCTTTGCTGAATAGATCAAGCATGATGAATGGGGAAATTTGAACAAATGGATAAATGAACAAAAATAAGGACCAGAGACAGATTGATTATATATTTTAAGATAAAATCCCTTGACTATGCAAAAGGAAAAGAATTTAGTATGAGAAAATATGCATAATATATTAGCAAGATAGGCAGAATAGTGACCCTCAATTATGCCCATAACCTAATTCTCAGAACCCATGAATGTTCTTTTTTTTTTTTTTTTTCTCTTACATAACAAACCAGACTCTGTGGAAGTGATTAGAATCACACTCTGAGCTATGGAGATTACCATGGATTATTCGCATGAGCTCAATCTAATCGCCCCAGTCCTTAAACACAGATTCTGTCCCCACTCTGATAGGAAGGCAAGGTGGTAAGATGTGGCTGGTTTTAAAGATAAAGAGGGGATCTGTGAGTCAAGAGAAATGGGCAGCCTGAACCAGCTGGAAAAAGAAGGAAAGAGGTTTTCCCTGGGAATCTCGGCTGAAAATTACAGCTCAGGCAGCATGTTGATTTTTACCAGTGAAATCTGCCTAGGATCTTAGACCAACACAACTGTAGGACATAGCAAGTTTATGTTGCTGTCCACCAGGCGTAAAGTAACGTATCACACAACCAACAGACCACATTATAATTCCAAAGTGTTTTCTTTGAGATTTAATTCCCCTATTTTGCATCTCTCCTGCCTACCCCATCACTAACTCCAGAGGCCCTCACTCCACGGGGAGTTGGTCAGTTCTGAATGTCATCTCGAAAGCAATGGGCTCGCTGCCTTCCATTTTCATGCTCTCAGCTCTGGATAGCCACGCTGGAGCAGGATAGGCATTTGTTACATTCTGAAGACTTGACATTTGTAGTGTCCTTAGTCCTATGCCACATTCATGGGTGCACATGTCTTTTGGATACTGTCCCAGATTGATGTTCAGAACTTCTAAGTTTTGGTCAATCTTGGTTATAATGTCATTAGCTTCAGCTGAGAAATCCTACTTCTCCAAGGCATTGGCTTCCCAAGCTGCTGACTTCATATGCTGTAGCCCAAACTAAAATTAAAAAAATTCTCATGATTGACAGCACATAACAAGTCCATATTCCTAAACTGTGGGATGGAGAGTGACCATTTCTCTCTGCTAAGACTGAACATCCTCCAAATTCTAAACTAGTGTCTGTGCAATACATAGAATGTAAATTCATGATGCCATCAATATTCACCAATAGTCTTTCAGCTGGTATGGTACTGTCAACCTCCAACTATGGACCAGATTTTTTTTAAAACTGTTTCCCTAAATGTAAAAACGGCAACTTGACTTTGTTCAAATAATTTTTAAAAGTCATCTTTAGGAAAATAATTTTTCTTATCATTCCCAGAAAAGGTGTCATTTGGCATGTGCCAGAGTGCTAGGATACACTTTGATTTCAGAAAGTAAGTCCTAAAGCCGAGACCTGGACCCTGGTTCAAGGTTCATAATTCCTGCAGCTGGCAGGTTCTCCTAGATCGGCCAGGAAGGGCCCAGAAGCTCTCAACACTAAAGCCACCTGACTGAAAGAGGAACATTTTCTCACAGACTATGCACCCAAGATTCCAAAAGAAGAAAGCACACCAGTGTTCATATAAGACTGGCAAAAACAGACTAGGTAAAGGTGGTTCTACTGACCGAATAGATCACTCTGTGATCTATCCAGTCTCTGTGGCTTAGGACACATGAAACAAAAGTAAATCAAGTCCAAGCACCAAGGACACATCAACTTAGGCCCCCGCCTACCCCACCCCCCAAAAAAGACACCACCCACTGCGTTTCCAAACTGTGTCATCCCAGCTTTGAAATAAATTATTAGTACCATCATTACATTCTACAAATGACACTTGTTATTTCACAAATACTATCATAAAACTGGCAGTGTTTTTGTCTCAGTCAGAGCCAGCTGCTAAGAGGCCAGTAGACACATTTTCAAGGACGGTCTGTCATTACAAGAACTTTCCAACCTCAGTCTGTCTCAGTGAAATATACATGTATATTGAAATTATGGATGTATATTTGTAATTTCCATTTTAATTGCATATATCATTTCACAAAAGTAACGCATACTATTTCTGAGGAGTGTATGATTAAAATGTAGTATGCTTGTGATGGATTTATAAAATTCTTTCCAAAGCTATTATACTGCTCTCCACAGGGGTGAAAATAATATAACCACAAGGGTGGAGAGAAAGGCAGGTACAATTGATAACACAATAAAATCTGACCATGTTTTATGAAACTAATACATGCCATCATCTAACAGCAGCTTTAAATATAAGATTATCTTTTATGTTTTAATGAGAATGCCCCCAAATTACTTTTACCAAGTTAAATGCATCTAAGGGTTTTCTAAAAATATAGATGAAAGTTGTCAGAAATCTATAATATTTCATTGATCTAGTTATACTTTCAAGTGAAATTTGCCTGTATTAAATATGTCACTTGAGAACCTTGTAGAATTCCCCTCATTTTATTTCATTTTTCTTAACACAGAGTTTCATTGTATTCCCAGGCCGGCCTCAAACTGAGAATCCTCCTGCCTCAGGCTCCCAGGTGGGAAGTACAGGCATGTCCAACCATGCTCAGGCCCCTCACATGTTTAATAAATAATTCCATTCACTTTGCCATTGAGCCATTCACAGCTATTTGAGGAGCTCCCCCCGAGTTCTGTCAGTCTGAGCTGTTCAGCACAGAGCCCAACTTCAATTCACATTAAATTCTGACACTTGTTATTTTATCCAAAGCACTTAGACACATTATATTGAAGCTGATTATTTTTGCTGAATGGCTATGTTTATTTAATAACATAAAAGACTTGCAATTTTAAGGTCATGTTTCATAAAATCCTTACTAAGTCTGTGTTAAATTTCTTTTCTCCCCCTTTGATTATCCGATTGATTGAGTCAGTTTCATGTCTTCCACAAATAATCATTTGTGTTCAAAATAAAAGAACTGAGAAAAATCCCACATGAAATGAAAGTCTCTGAAAGGAATTGATTATAAGGGCTGTGTGAGAGAGAGAAAGAAAAAGAGAGAGACCTACCTATATTTGTGTGCATATAGAAACATTACAGAACTAATTGACTTTAGTTTCCCCCAGGTTCGAGTTAATATTGAGGCATAAGTAGCAAGCTAGGATTTTTATCTGGGACTCAGCATGCTGCATATTCAGGTAAATAAAGAAAATAGTCCTGCGTTCAGCTCCAGCTCCACTTGTTAACAAGTGAGAGGAACTAATGAAAACCACAGGTAATCCCCCAGCCTCACTGCAGCCATTAGTTTCAATCTTGTCCCCCACACCTCCTTCCATGAGAACTGCTGACAGGGGTAATGTGGGGCCCAGGGAGGCCTCCTCAGCCTGCACACTTCTCATCCGCGTGCTAATGAACTGTTGAATGGCCACAAGGCAGAAGTCCCGAGAAGAGAGGAGGCAAGAGAGTCAAATCCTGCAGCCCAATGATAAGCCACCAATAATGCCAGCTTAATCCTCACGCTGTCACCCATCCAAAGGCAGCGGTCCCAGCCTTCTACCTGCAAACACCGAATCATTAGAACCATGTGGGTCTGCTCTTTTATACTCAGTTGTGACTTATTCGCCTTAAAAGATTTCAAGTGAGTCTTTTTATCGGAACATAAAATCAGATATTCATCCGTGTTACCACACAGAGGAATTATCTAGTAGCCGAAGATATCATGCTCCTATTAAAATCATCTACTGGTTTCTCCCAGCTGGCAAGGCTTAATCCCACGGCAAGCTTGCCTCCCACTCATTAGAAGACTACACTGTTTGTAAGGCACATTTGTTAAACGTACACATCCTCAGGACCATTATGGAGAAAAAGCAAAGGCTGTAACCCTATTTGTATTGGAGTGTGTGGAAAAAAAAATTCAGCATGTGTATGAAATTCATTAGGCC